TCATCAGCCACTGCTGCATGATTGCCAGCAGCATATCACCCAGTGGTTATTATAGTGGATGCTTCACTGTGGTTCTAGTTGCGTAGGCCATGTTTGACTGTGTAGAAGATTTCAATGCAGCAGCTGTGTTGAAAAGCCCCTAGTCATCGGACATTACTGCTCAGAGTCAAACAGATAATACAGCATGCATTCTGTTCTCCAATATCAACACCACAGTTACCGTTGAGCTTGAAACACTTCCAGCATTTCAGTGTCTGTTCAATCATACAATCAATGGCCCAAATGGGTTGAAATGAAAATCATTTACTAACATTGTTTCAAAATTTATTGACATCAACCTCGAGGCAGAGACCTGCACTATCTGCTGCATGGATTCAAATCAAAATGTCAACAACGCATTGACCGGGTCACACAAGCTTTATTCGAAACAGCAGTTTGTTTGAGAGGGCGATGATAATCTGACAGTGTTTCACAGGTAGAAGACAGCTTTAAGGTCTCACTCTGGCTTCCTTTTTTTACGAGGCAAATCAAACTTTCTACTCACTGAAATGTGTCAAATTTACCCAAATGTATGACGCTTATATTTTGAATCAAGTGAGAAGTCAAGTGAGAAAACTCTGACTGTTTCACAGCTTTGAGGTCTCCAGACTTGAAGGCTCCAGTGTGCCACGACAGTAATTAAGTTCAGCTTAATTAAGGATTATTAATTAAGCGAAAAGAGGTGTATTCTGAGCTAATTAATTGTCATATTTATAGCATAATAGATAATTAAACATACAAGCCAGTTAATAATTGAAATTCAAACTATGTTCTTTGCTCAAAACATTGCTGGATTCATGTATTAAACATTCTGCACTTTTATTTTGGATAGACATTTAAAGTTTACTTTTCTTCTATCTATATGAGGAAGAAGTTTGCACACCTCACTTGTGTGTTGCTTTATCATATACACTTTAACTGTGACGTTACTATCATGGATGGCACGCACCCACACTAATTACAACAGAGTGCAACCTGCAGAGATGAAACAGGAGCTCTCGAGGACCATCTGGTGAGCGTTTTAGACACGGCCCTTGCAGTCATGTACTGGTTTGTACCTGCTGTCACTGTTTTTCAGAGTTTGTGCCAAGAAAAAAAATTGGTTCACAAGATTTAAAGTGGTCCTCAAATTACAAGCGATGTTGCCAAGTCTCTGCTGAATAAAGTTATTAAGTTGAGTTAAGTTGTGTTGGCTGTTATTTTGAAAAGCAGCTATGA